TTATGGTAGTTATTTCATGCAGAAGGGACTGCTGTATAGCATCTTGGTTTCTCTTCAGATTGTATAAATTTTTCACCTTTTCTTTTTTTTAGAGAGGTTCTCACTATATAGCCCCTGGCTGGCCTTGAACTCACTATATAGATCAGGCTGGTCTCAAATTCAGAGATCACCTACATCTGTCTCCTGAGTGCTGGGATTAAAGGCATGTGCTATACTATGCCTGACTTTTATATCTTTAGTTTTGGTAAGTTCAGCATTTAATAAGTACTCACTACTCTATAACACTTTGTACAGACTGCAGACTTTTGCATTTACTTTTTTACTGACAAGATAGCACTGTAGTTTGCTAGTGCCATCTGTGACATCATATATGTCTGTCAGTTAAAATCCACCGTGAGGTGAAAATCCCTTTGGACTCTGGAGCTATATGGAAGTGTAACGTAGGACATAGTTGTATTTGTAGTCAGCTCAACAGGGTTCGAATCCTGGTTTTGCCAGGATACTGCTTACTGGGCTTCATATGAAATCCGGCCACTTCAGTGTACTCAGCCTCACTTATTTTCCATGTGTTTCTGGAGAGCGCCATTCAGTGTAAGCTGGTCTGGTTATTTCAGTAACTTGTTCCTCCAGTGAGTTTTTTTTTTTCCTGTGACCAAACGAGACTTGAGGGATGGAAGCTGGTGGGTAAATGTGTTTTCTTCCTTCTCCCTGGGTTAGTAGCTCTTAGCTAGTCATCAGGCTTCTTAGAAAATCCTGCTGATCTATCATCTATCAGAAACATCTGTCTCTTTGGTGGGAGCCAACTAGATAATGTTCTCTTTTTTGTGGACTCTCACTCTTTGTTTTCCTCCTCATGTCCTTCACTTTGGATTCTGAGAATCACATTTCAAAATAAACTAACAGCCGATAAGCCTTTGTCTCACCTTTACTTTCAGGAGAACCCAACTTAAGGTGTTTTGTTGTCATCACATGTAACTTCCTCTCCGAACATGTTTTTCCTAAGACTTGTGTCTACTTCACAGGGTTATTTGGAGAATTAACTAGGTAATCCATTCACTCACCATGGTAAGTACTGAAAGGCTACTTACTATGTGCCAAATGATGTTTGAGCCCTCGGGATGTAGTAGTGAAAGAGACAGACCCTACTGCCATTATAGAGTTTGCATTCTGGTGGTGGAGATGAAGCAAACCAAGACTTTCAAATATTGAAGAAAGCTATAAAATTAATTAAGCAAGATGATGAGCAGTAAAGTGATGAGGGATGAATTTGAAAGGAGCACTGAATGATAAGAGCAAGCTCTGGACATGGGAAGAGTATTTTGGGTAGAGGGGTAGAGGTTCAGAAGCCCTGCTATAGGCATGAATGTCAGGAGCAAGGTAGTGAGGGCAGACAGGTGCTCAGTAAGTGCTGCCTAGTCGAAGTGGTAGCGAGGTTGGAGCGGGAAAGCTTATTGTTGACTGTATGAAATGAAGTGGCCATGTTTACCCCATGGTTGATTAGAAGTTTGTTTACTAGAGTAAGCAAAGAATTAATCAGGATATGAAAAAGATCACATAGTACATTACATTTTCCTTTAACCCATTAATACAATCAATTACACTGACTCCCTTTATATTTCCAATGTATATTTCTGTCCTGGACAGAATTAAAATGGTTATATCAATAGAATCAATTAATTCCTCAGTAGGTATTTTTATTTATTCACACACACACACACACACACACACACACACACACGCACACTCACACACTATGGCACACATGTGGCAGTTAGAGGACAATTTTGTAGAATTGATTCTCTTCTACCCTTATTCCAGTCCTGGGGGTTGACCTCAGGTCCTCAGACTTGTGTGGCAAGTGCCTTTGTCTACTGTGCATCTCACTCGCTCAGTATTTTTCAATTTAATTCTAATTTCAGTGAAGTATAACATTTTGCAGTCTTAACCATTTTCAAGTATACATATCAACAGCATTAAGTACATCCATATTTTTGTGTAAATAACCTCCTGAACTCTATCTCACAGAACTTTCACCATAAACAACTCCTGAACCATGGCTCCTGTGCTTTGTCAGTCACCAGCATTTTTTGTGTGTCTTTTTGAGACAGGGTCTCCCTGTAGCCCCAGCTGATCTGGAGCTTGCTATATAGACCTTGCCTACCTTAATCTCACAGAAATCTGCCTGCCTCTGCCTCCCAAGTGCTGGGATTAAAGGCATGCACTAGCATGCCTGGCGTCAGTATCCATTTTACTTTCTGAATCTTACTGTTTTTATGAATCTTACTGTTCTAGATGGCTTGTGAATGGAATCAGGTAATATTTATCTTGTTGTGTCTGGCTTATTTCACTTTGTGTAATGGCCTGAGGATTCATCAGTGTTCTCACATGGCGCAGAATCTCTTTGTGACTCAATTAAGTTCTGTTGTACATTTGCAGCAGTTTCTATTATTCTTCCTAAGTGGACCCATGGGTCAGTGCTTGAGCAGCTCTTCTCCATCAGTGCCCTTCCAATGAGCAAATTGCCCTTTAGGGATCCCTGCCCGCTCTAGCAGGAGCATAGCAGACTCAGCTGTGGCCTCAACCTGTGTGCTAACGGAACTGACGCAGGACAGATGGAAGACAGCAAAGATTCTGAAATGCTTTTCACATTTTAATCTTTTTAAAATTAGGATATACCTTAGAATTGTTGACATTTTAGAATATTTGGCAGTGTTTCTTTCCTTTTTAGAGTCAAACACAATGGTGTATCTTAAGTCAGCTTAATCATAGAGCTGGTGAATCTTAAGTACACTTTTAAATACTGTATATAAATCAGGACAAGCAGAGTAGATAGCTGTAGGGGTTGCTCAGAAATAAGGGAATTATTGTTACTGCCTTCTGTCTGCCTTTCCATGATTCAAGCATGATTGTTTCTTGCCTGGATTATCACAGCTTCCTGACTGGTCTCTCTTCAACCCTTGTCTTCTGTACCCTCTCAACAACCCAAGTGAACATTTAATACTGGTTTTATGCCTCTGTTTAACATTCTTTACTTCTACCCCAGGGATCCTGACTCTCTTGCTCAGAGGAAGGTGGAGGCTTTCTCCTGGTCTCTGCACTCTGCTGACCACTTCTTTGGCCTTATATCCAACCTGTGTGTCTTGCACTCATCCTGCTTTCAGCTGTGCTGAAGCCTGACTGCCTGCTGACTGTTTCTTTCTTAAAGCATTTGTACTTGATTTTCCTTCTGGGGGATCCTCTTCCTTCAGATATCTATCTGCAAGGCTTACTTGTTAGGGTATCTGCTCAAATCTCACCCTATGAGAAGGGTTTTCCCTAGCTGCCCTGTGTAGAGGGATACACATCTTCCTCCAGTAGAATTCTTTGCTCTGTAAGCAGGAGATCCCAAGTTACGGTGTGGTAATATCAGGGACCTGACTTACAGGAACTGGCTATGCTTCCCAGTGTCTTTGAAAGTCACCTGGGGTTTGGGGGAGGGTCTATCCCTTCTTGTATTCAATTCTGACATCTGGGTGATAAAGGTGGCTACCATCTTGAGCTTTGGCAGAAGGAAAGAGCATAAATGGTTCATTGGCTAAGTGCCTGGAAGTGATATATCTTGGTTGCCCCAAGCAAATCACATTGTCATACCTAACTTCAGTTGGTGGGGAAGTAATAACCCTACCATGTGCCTGAGAAGACTCCAGGGTGGATAACAGTTTCAGGCTTTACCCTGCTTGGTTTTTCTTTAGCATTTGTTTCCACCTGACATTTTCTATGTCTACCTTGTTTTCTTTTTTTCTCCTGTAGGTTGTAAACACGAGAGCAGGGCCTTTGTTCTGATGGTTCTACTGAACCCTAGGGCCTAGGAACATGCATGTATATAATAGGTGCTTGTTGATGCTTAGAGAGGGATTAAGGAGACTGTCAAGGTACCTCACTCTTACTCATTTGGTGACATGTAAAGTACATTGGAAGTGTAAACTGGGGAACTTGGGGGTGGGGAGGCCATGGTTTGACATAAGAAGGTGGCCACCAGGCTTCTAGAGAGCAGCATTGGAATCACTGGTCAGAGAATTGTGTCATTGTTAGACTTGGGACCAGGAATTTGCAGCTCAGCTGTGTGGTTTTTTTTCCACTCAGATTGAGTTGCTCAGGAGCTACAAGGGAGAGGCAGGGATGACTGACTTTCACAAGGACAGGTGGAAGTTGAAGAAGGAATCATGCTGCCCTTTCAAAGTATAGCACTCCATCCCCTCTCTGGGCCTGTCAAAATAATAAAGGGGCTCACCTGGAATAAGAGAAGCCTACTGCCTTATGGGGTTGACACGATGGGGGTGGTGGGAGGTGTTTGCTCTCCATTCAGCATTTTTAGGGGTGGATGATGGGGACAGAGCATTGGGAAGAACAGTCCTGGGCAATCAAACTGAAGACTTCATGCTTGCTAGGAAAGTGCTCTACCACAGAACTATGTCCCCAGCCCTCCTCACATATTTTTCTCATGACACTCTTGAGGTAGGTTCTCATCCCTTATTTTACAAACTAGAAAAACCGAGGCTTCCATGGCTCAAGGCAAAATTGAGACTGGTCACACTCTTAGACCTTGTGTGTTGTTGAGGCCTAGGCAATAGGGTGTGGTTTTAGATCTGACAAGTCTTGGCAAAGAGTATACAAACACTTTATGGTAGTTCCAGTTAGATGTTTGTAGGACCTTGCCAGAGAGGAAATAGCTGGGCTATTTTTGTATGCTTGCACAAGTATTGTAACCACAGTATCAACTGTAACCAGGTAAATCTACTGGCAGGGAATTTCTTATGAATAAGATGTAGACTCTGAGAGTGTCCCCTTGGTGATGTGTCTCTGTTCTTGCCATTGGTCAGCTGAGCATTTCTTCTGTGTAAGGAGCTGTGCTCTCTTCATTGCATCTGATTCAAAACAAGTCACTTCTCTTGTGTCCCCCTGCCCTCCATGTTTTTAATTGTAGGAGCAATCATTCTGAACATGGTCTTCTTTCTTCCTAGATAAGGCTCCTCTGTCAAAGAGCCTTTTGCTGGTCCCCAGTGCCCTGTCCCTTCTGCTGGCTCTCTTGCTGCCTCACTGTCAGAAGTTCTTCGCATATGACCTGCATGCCATCAAGAACGACTTCCAGGTGGGCACTGCAACCTTGGCCTCTGGGAGGAGAGGGGATTTTTTTTCTCTTAGAATTATTTTTTTCTCTTTTCTCCCTATAATTTATTAGTCCCTCTGACCCCTAATTAAAAAAAATAATTTATTCTTTGAGACTATTTTTATACTTTGATCATATTCACCCCCTCTCCCTACCACCATGTCCCTCTTCTAATTTCCATGTCCTCCTCATTTTATATTGACTGAGTCTGTTAGAGCTCCCTCCGTGCACATAGGTATGGGGCTATCCACTGGACCATGGGCAACCTACCAGGGGCCACATCCCTGAAGAAAATTGACTCTCCTTCCACCAACAACCATCAACTGCCAGTAGATCTCAGCTAAGGGTAGGGCCTGGTAAGCTCTTTTTCCTCCATGCTGGGATGTTGGCCGGGTTGATCTTGTGCAGATCTCATGCAGGCAGCTCCAGCTGCTATGAGTTCATGAGTGCATTGGTCCTGTCATGTCCAGAGGACAGTTTCATAGCAGCCCTCCCAAACCTGTGCCTCTTGCAGTCTTTCTGTCCCCTCCTCCACAAATGTCCCAAGCCTTGTGGGGAGAGGGTGTTTCATTTAGGGCTGGGCACAAAACCCCTCAATTTGTAAGAAATATTCTTATTAATACTGTATTAACAAGTATATCTTTTAGTCATCTTTATTGATAGTTTCAGTAAATGAGATTATAACAAAGAAGTTGCAGTGCTTTCCTTTAGTAGACATATCATTTTCCATTTTAATTTTTTCTCATGAAAATACAATTTATAATTTTAAAAGAATTTTTGAAAAATATGTTAAATCTTTTATGACACAACGTCTCTGTTGCCCCAGCTGGCCTAGAACTTGATATGTAGACCAGGCTGACCTCAATCTCATAAAGATCTGCCTGCCTCTGCCTCCTGAGTGCTGGGATTAAAGGCAGGCACCACCATAACTGGTTTAAATCTTTTTTTTAAAAAAAACAGCACACTTAACATTTCCAAAAACCTGTCTCAGTTTGAATATTCGATTAGGTGATTTAAGTTCATTCGTCTGTATAATGATTGCTTTTTAAAAAAAATGATGGTAGTTAGATCAAGTAGTAAAATTTTGAGTTTTTGCCATTGCAAAGAGCAGAACTCTACAGCTTTCAAGGTTCATGGACTTTTCTATAAGTTGGAATGTTCTCCAAATTACATTGGAGAACGCTCTAAGACTCTTCCTTTGCTAAGAACTTGATTAGTCATTCTAAGCTCAAACATCTCTTTCCTGAATACTGACACCTTCATAACAAGGTGATTAATGCCTTGACCTCACTGAATTCACCAAGGCTCTATGAAGGTCTTTCAGTGATTTCTCTATACTACTGCACCTGTCAGAATGGATGGTAGCTTCTGTAGTTTGTCATTTTCTGTAAAGCAATGCTTTTCAACCTTGTCTGCGTGTGTGTGTGTGTGTGTGTGTGTGTGTGTGTGTGTGTGTGTGTACATCTTTAAGTGCATATCATGCATACATATATAAAACACACACGTATATGTTAAAAAACCTAGAATCTCACTATAGATCAGCTGAGTCAAAAAGACTTTGTAGGATTTGGACATTAATGTTTCAAATTTTAAATTTTTATTTAAAAAAATTATCCCCAGGGCATTCTAGTGTGAGCCCAGCCTTGAGACTTGAGAACTTCTGGAAGGAAAGGAAAGGCCTTCTGATTTCTGGGGTTAATTTGATTCTCCTGGCTACACATCACATGGGCATCTGCTTTAAAGGTGTCTGGGTACATTCATAAGAACTTCTGCGGAGATGGGAGGGGGTTCGCTTCTGCCTTGAGAATACTAAACATACATATAACTACACAATATGATAAGCTGCCAAGTATACACTAGATCCTTAGATGATAAAAAAGGAAATTGGGACCAGTTAAGGGTGTATATTAGTCAGGGTTCTCCAAAGAAACAGAACTGGTAGAATGAATATATATGTATAGAGATTTATCAGCTTAGCTCACAGGATAGAGTCTGAGTAGTCCAACAATGGCTGCACCACACTGGAGAGGCTGAGAATCCGTAGTCACTCAGTCCACAAGGCTGGATGTCTCAGTAGTCCCAATCTGGCGCTGAAAGTCTGACGAATTCCAAAAGATCAGCTAGTCTTCAGTCTACAGCAGCAAGACGAACTCACCAGCGAGAGAGAAGGCAAGCAGCAAGAAGCCTGGCATTCCTCTCTGCCTTAGCCTTTTATACCGCTGCCATCAGAAGGTAACACCCACATTTAGGGTGTGTCTTCCGGCTTTAGATGATCCAATCAAGAAGATCTCTTTCATTTCAGTTAATCCCAGATCCAGTCAAGTTGACACCCAGGATTAGCCATCACAAGTTGGAACCACTCTAGAGAGCTTTGGGATAACTTTTCAATTTGTTCAGTTTGGAAGAAGAATGACTGAATTAGTGAAGAAAGGGTATTTTGCTTCAGAAAGCCCTATATGAATACCCTCAAGGGTATAATACAGCAGGTGTGGCTGGAAATTGATACAGGCTTGCATTGGATGAGCCCACAGGGTCAGCGATAAAGGTATTCCTATACCAAGTCTCAGGTGGTCATACTCTTAAGGGTAGGTACGAAACCCAAATCCTTTAAAATTATAGCTACCAGCTTCATTCACCATTAACCATAGGAAAGCCAAAGCAATGGAGTTCTGTAAACACAGTTGGTTACATTTCTTTAATATTTGGATTTTCCTACTGGCTGTCAGGGTATGTTGAGCACAGTGTGGAATGTGGGGGAGGGCTTGGAGCTGCCTGTCAGGTTTTGCATTAGCTATTCTGTAGATAATAAATATTACATTTGCTCAACAGGATCCTGAGTTCTCTCACTGTTCTCAGTTGATCATGTTGATGGGAGTCTATACTGGATTAAATTTCAACATGATTCTAATACAGTTGCAGAATACCTAAGGGAGAAAAGAGATTTCAATTGGAGGTACTTTTCTGTGACTTGCGTGCCTATGGTGGTATTCTAGTCTGATCATGGGCCTTTTCTTCTTGAACCCAGATAGAGTCCAAAACAGTTTAGTGAGTAGGCAAGTAGATGAATCCACAGGCCTTCCCTAGGTTAGTTGAGTTCTATTACATGGTGGGATAGACTGATGGCAGGGACTCTGCCTGGTGTCTTGCTTAATGCAGAGGCAAATGTGAACTGTGGGGTTTTAAATTTTTTTATTTATTTTAATTTTATGTGCATGAATGTTTTGCCTACATGTATGTAAGTGCACCATGTGTGTACATTGCCCATGGAGGCCAGAAGAAGGCACTGGAGTCCCTGGAAATGAAATTATGGACACTTGTTAACCACCATGTGGGTACTGGGAACTTAAGCCAGGTCTTCTGCAAGAATAGCAAATGCTCTTAACCAGTAAGTCATCTCTATAGCCCCCACTGCATGTGTTCTTAATGCCACCGAGTCATGTATTTGAAAATAGACATGGTAAATTTTATCCCTATGTTTATCACAATAATTCAAAGGAAGGATAGGGTTAATTTGTTCTACTTATGTCATAAAGTAATTGTAAAGGGGAAAGAAAATCAGAATGTTTTGCTGATGCTATTGGGACAATTAAAATTTGGAAAACATTTAAGATTCAAAACAGGCCATTGAAAACTAGCATTTTTATTTGTGTATTTGTTTTTCACCTAGCTAGAAAATAAAGGCTGGTGATGTTTCTAAGCCTACTAATATTTAGCAGCAGCTCCTGTAGCTTGTCTTGCACATAGTTGGTATGGCATTCTTTGGTGATTAAATTAAGCTAAAAAATGCATATTTTTGAGCTTATATCTAAATTGTTTTTCAGTTATAGCTTTGTTTTAAATTCAGTCATGTAAAGTAAACATTTGTTAGTCTTCCATTCAGCTGATTTATGTTATTATCTTATTAATTTTACATTTTTTCATTTTGTGGGTTGAGAGGGTAGGGTGTGCATATGCTATGTGGAGGTCAGAAGACAGCTTTGTGAGCTCAGTTCTCTCCTTCCATCTTTAGTTAGGTTCTAGGGATCAAACTTAGGTCATCAGGCTTGGTGGAAAATGCCTTTATCTACTGAGCCATTTCTCTAGCCCTCTAATTTTTTTTTATAAGAAAATTTCTATTGTCTTAATAAGAATGCATTTTCTTTTTCCTTGTCTTTTTGGTTTTTTGAGACATGGTCTCACTCTGTAGCTGTGGCTGACCTGTTGGGAACCTCACAAAGGTCGGATTAAAGGCATTCGTCACCATGTCTGGCGACACCCAAGAATGTGTTTTCTTACTATAATAATATAACTTTTTACTATTGGAAGAAGTTTCTAGGATGAGAAAATTGAGTTTATTTCTTCAGGTTCCACACGCAGTTTTCCTTTTTTGTGTGTATGCTGACTTTGCTGAGTGTTTAAACAGGCAGCGTAAAGCAAGCAGATTCACCAAGGCAGAGACCTGAGCAGATCTTATCTCATTCATTGTTCTGTGTTTTAAATCCCTATCTAGATTTGGAGGTTGATATGTGGAAGAATCATTTGCCTTGACTTGAAAGATACTTTCTGCAGCAGTCTACTTATTTATAACTTTAGAATATTTGAAAGACGGTATGGAAGCCGGAAATTTGCAGTAAGTTATTAGATATTTGGCTTTTCTCCTTAGATTTTGGGGGGAAATTAACTTACTTATATTACTTATTTACTTATTTGGTGCTTCCAAAGACCCGCATGCTAGGCAAGCACTCCATGACTGCTACATCTCCAGCCCCTTTGAACATTAATGTTTTTTGGAAATAAAGTCTTGCTGAATTGCTTAGGCTGGCTTCAAGCTTATGATCCGCCTACTCAGCCTCCTGAATACCTGGAAATACAGGTGTGCACTATATACCAGCAAAAAATGGGTTTGATTTGTTAAACTCAGTTTATTATTTATAATTATCTTTTTATTTACATGATTCTACTATGTCTGATTTAGGGCCTGGACATTAACCAAAGGAAAATTCAAAATTTAAACCAATGACATAATAAAATAATAAAATGGTAGTAATGATATACACAGAATTAATTGTGAGCAGGCAATAAAAATTTTAATTAGGCCGGGCATGGTGGTGCCTACCTTTAGTCCCAGCACTCAGGAGGCAGAGGCAGGTGGATCTCTGTGAGTTCGAGGCCAGCCTGGTCTACGTATCAAGTTCCAGGTCAGCTGGGGCTACAGGCAGACCTTGTCTCAAAAGGACAAAAAAAAAAAAAAAAAAAAAATCTTTTTTTAATTAGCACTTTGGCTAAAATTTTAGTCACTTAATTGACTTAATAGTTTATGTGCTACTTGTTAGTCTTGGTATGAATATCATTTCTTCAGCATATCTAGATGTTATGGAAGCTAATACATTTGAACAATATAGTTAGTCCCTAATTTTGGAAAGTTTAACAAAAACAACTAATTAAAAGATATGCATGTGTATGGTATGTACGTGTGTGTGTGTGTGTATGTATGTATGTGTGTTTGTGTGTATCCCTGCGCTGATTTTTAACTAATTAACCATTAATTTATTTGTAGGTAACTCATTTTTCCATTTTTTTCTTTTTTCAGTCCTTCTTGCTGGGTTCCTGGATCTTGTCAGCCTTATTTGACTTTATCCTTGTGGAAGCTGTGCAGTATTCATTTGATATCACTGTGGCCAATAATTTGCCTTCTGGATTGTAAGTAGCTCTTAAGGATTGGCTAATTTAGAATTTGTAAATTTACTTGAAAGCATATTGTTTATAAAAGTCAGTAAAAGATAGTCTAGACTTTGAGATAAAATGAATGGTATATTAAAAAAAAACTTATATGCCTACATATTCCTTATGTTCTTAAGTGATCAACTTCACAGTAATTTCCTTTTTTGGCTCTGAAATTATTGTAGAATTTTCGCTTGTCCTTTTTTGAGACATTGTCTCATTATGTATCCCCAGGCTTGCCTTTAATTCATGATCCTAATTCCTCAGCTTTCTGGGTCCTGGGATTACAAGCCTGTACCACCCTTGCCTAGTTTAGGTTTTTTTATAAATTTGCTGTTCAGTTCCTGAAGATGGAATTTGTTTTGTGGATTTTTATGGTAATATTTTGCCATTGTAATTTTATGAAGTAATTAAAATGCAAATTTAGCTAGATTGGATAACAAAAGAACATTAAGTTTCTGAAGACAGTTTTAAGCTGCTATTTACACACTTCCAACAAAGGTAAAGCCAAGTCAGTACATAGGTAACAACCTTGTGCTTACCCCACAAGACTGAGCTAAGTTACTCAGTGTGTCTTCCATGTGGTGTTGATCTTTAAAAAACCAAAAACTGTTTGTTAATATGTGAAATAACTGGGAGCCAGGAGCAAAGCTATTAGTACATACAAATGACCTTAAAGCATCTCTGAATATGAGGCTGTATTTGGGAAATAAAACAGTGTGAAATAAAAGACTGGGTATTTAAAATTCTGTGCATGCTAACTTTAGCCTTGTTTTAGGTTTAAAATTCGGTTTTGAGAACTTTTAGATGTATTAGGTATCTTGAGTCAAAAGTACCTTGGATCCCTGTTTGAAAAATATAATTAGGGGTTTAATAGATTTCACACTCATGTTGTTGGTATTTTAGAGTGTAGTTGTCCTTCCTGGGATCTACCAAGTTCTAGTTGACATGAATGTCCATAGATGGTGACTGCAGCTATTTTAACAATATTTGGCTCAGAATCACATCTGATTGGAGATACAAAGTTCTGTGTTATAATTACTGTGTAGTTTTTGTTGAGTCCCATGGGCTTTAAGTATATTTAGACTGGGAAACATAGGTTGGTGCTTCTGTGAACATAGTGCAGCCAACAAGAAGGATTCCATCTTAATTCAGGACAGAAGCGGCATTCCTAAGTCACTTATTTTTCCTCAAGTATTTTCCATCTGGGCCAATTCTTTTTGGTTCTCAGCAAAGGCTGCTGAGTTTTGGAGGCATATGTGTATGATGTGTGTTAGTGTTTGAATGGAAATGAGTAATAGTAACACAACTCCTAAGTCTTATTCTTGTATACTGTCCTTTTATCTGATGACACTTCTGTACCTAAGAGTGAAATAACAATAGAACCTTCATATTAATTTATTTTATTATGGAAACCTATTAAGTGGCACATGAAAAGAGTCCTGATTCATTTTGAAGTGCTGGTAATGCTTTACTTACTCTTTTCAAAATTTATTTATTTTTATTTTTTGTATATGATTGTTTTGTTTGCATGTAAGTAAGTGCACCACGTGTATTCGTGGCTGTCTGGGTGCTGGAAACTGAATACAAGTCCTCTACATGAACAGTAAGCATCCTTAACAACTGACCCATCTCTCCAGCCCTTAAAGATTTATTTATTTATTTACTTTTTGTTTGTTTGTTTATTTATTTATTTAATTTTTGAGGCAGGTTTTCCTTGAAGCCCCAGCTGACCTAGAACTCATTATGTAGGCCAGGCTGGACTTGATCTCGCAGAGATCTGTCTGCCTCTGCCTCTACCTCCTGAGTGCTGGGATTAAAGGCATGAACTACCACACCTGGCTTTTTGTTGCTGTTAAGCAATTTAAGAAATTTATTTTTTATTATTTTATGTGCCTAGTGTTTTGACTGCATTTATATAAGTGTACTGCATGCATACACTGCTGGGGGAGGCCAGAAGAGAGTTGTCAGATCCCTTAAAACTGGAGTTATAGACTATTTTGAGCCACGATGTGGGGGCTGGGACCCAAACCTGGGTCCTCTGCAAGAACAGCAAGTGCTTTTAGCCACTGAGCCATCATTTGAGCCCTAACTCGCCCTTTGAGCTCTGTTTATAGCTGGCGACCACATATCAGTTGGAGGTTCTCTGTTCGCCTTAGGTCAGTGAAGAGAAATAAACTTCCTTTTACTAAAATCTTGAGTAACCCCCATATTTTTGGTTTTCTTATTTTCCTTAAAGCTCTTAAATCTGTCCAGTCTTTCAGGCCTCTTTCCCATCAATCATCCAGCTTTCTTAACCTCCTATGTTTATATAGTATTTGTATTCTTATGTCCACTGGGCTTACTCTTGGCTCTTTCTTACCGTTTGGCATCATTAATTGTCCTTTGTGTGTATTATAACAAATGAATTGACTATTTCAATTAACATTTATTACATGCATTTATTACAGTATCTCAGAATTATCATCATGGTTCCTTTATGCTACTGACTAGCTCTTTGAAAATGAACTTGGGTTTATATCATGTACTTCTTATATTCAGTAACCTTGAAGAGATAAGCTTGGTTACCTGAGCCCCAGTTAAGGGATAAGAACCTTGTGTAGATTTGTCTTTACTTTTTGTAGTGCCTTTTTAAAGATTTTTTATGTACAGGAGTGTTTTTTTTGTCTGCATGTATATATATATATATATACTACATGCATGCTTAGTGCCCATGGAAGCTGTATGAGAGCATTAGATCCCCTGGAACTGGAGTTACAAATAATTGTGAGCCATCATGTGTCGCTGGGAACTGAACCCAGGTCCTCTGAAAGAGCTGCAAGTGCTTTTTTTTTTTAATATTTATTATTTTTATTTTATGTGTATGAGTGTATTGCCTGCATGTATGTGAGTGCACCCATGTCCTGCAATGCGGAGGTCAGAAGAGGGCCGGATTCCCCCCTGGAATTGGAGTTAAGGATGGTTCGTGGCTGCCATGTGGTGCTTTTTTTTTTTAATATTTATTATTTTTATTTTATGTGTATGAGTGTATTGCCTGCATGTATGTGAGTGCACCCATGTCCTGCAATGCGGAGGTCAGAAGAGGGCTTCGGATTCCCCTGGAATTGGAGTTAAGGATGGTTCGTGGCTGCCATGTGGGTGCTGGGAATCAAACCCGGGTCCTCTGCAAGAGAAGTCAGTGCTCTCAACTGCTGAGCCATCTCTCCAGCCCCATGAGCTGCAAGTGCTTTTAACCACTAAGCCATTTCTCTAAACCTTTGTATAGAAATTGTACCTGACATATGATGGATTCTTAAGATTTATTTCAGTTCAGAAAATACACCATTGTTTTCAAACAAGTAGGCTACATTATTAAAAGCTAAATATATTAGCTATGTCTAACTAACCCATGCCTGACACATTTGCCCTAATATACCTGTTATATTTTGTTAATATTTGCATGTGAGTATTTGTTATCCAGAATCAAAATCCCCCAGAATAATTGAATTTGAATTTTTATATACGTTAAAGTGTGTTTGATACTGACAAGATGGCTCAGTGGACAGAGGCACTTGTTGCCAAGCCTAAAGGCCTGAGTTCGAGCCTTGGAACCCACATGGGTGGAGAGAAACTGATTCATGAAAGTTTTCTCTGACCTCCACATGTATGCCCACATATGCACATATGCACACACAAAATAAGTAAATAAATGTAATAATTTTTTTTTTTTTTTTTTTTTTTGAGAAAGGGTCTCCCTGTAGCCCCAGATGGCCTCAAACTTGCTATGTCAACCAGGCTGGCCTCCATCTCACAAAGAACCACCTGCCTCCTGAGTTCTGGGAATAAAGTTATAGGCCACCATATCAAGTTTTGGAAGACATTTTTCTTAATTGCTAAATGATGTAGGAATCCCACTGTGAGTGGTGTCAGCCCTGGGCAAGTATGAAAAAGGTAGCTGAGCAAGTCAGGGGAAGCAAGCCAGTAAGCAGCATTTCTCCAGGGTCTCTGCTTCAGTTCCTGCCTCCAGGTTCCTGCCTTGAGTTCCTGTCCGTCCTGACTTCCCTCAGGATTGTGACCTGATACCTGTAAGCTGAAGTAAACCCTCTCCTCCTCAAGTTGGTTTTGGTGAAACCAGGACACAGTGTAAGAAGAACAAACTGTCAGTATTGGAGAAAGTTATTTAACTATTAGTAAGCATCCCATGCCATAGAAATGAATCAGGTTGAGCAGAAATGAGATCTTAATCACCTTTCCAGCATTGGTCTTAAGTGGGGTTGGTAAGCTGTAGGCTATCAGGAATTGTTCAATGATTGAAGTCTGTTTTCACACACAAAAAAATGAACTTAGAGTAGGGGAGGCCTCCTGGGCTGCTTGCTATCATCAATTTTTTCTCTGTTAGCAATGGTGGTAAGTTGAACTTAGTTACTTATGTAAAAATCCTGAAAGTTTGATGTTTAGAACATAAAATTGTAAATTCAGACTTCTAAGCCCAAGTGTAAACTCGATAGATATCCCCATCTATCAAATTATTTTGAACAACAGCTAGATGATTTTTTTTTCCCTGAGTCACTCACATACAGAAATTAGTCCAAGATGGTAAGCCAGTTAATTATTTGCACAAATAAAATTTGACTATGAAACATAATTTGGATGTTTTCCCCAAGTCATTCATAACCACGTTTTATGCAAGTTGTAAAATAAAAATGAATGAGTTTATTAGAAGATTCAGTATTTAATCATGTTGCTACAATAATAAGATCCCACAGAAGTTTAAAAAGTTTATTTTAACCAGAGAATGGACTTGATAATACCTCACAGAATGGCCATTCAGCTGGAGTTGTTGGAAAAATACTTCTAAAGAGATCAAAGAAACGCACTCCCTACGACTCATAGCATCTCACTGTTGATGTTGCTTAGTGACCGTAAACTCCCAGAGCGGAAACTTTTTCTGCGCACACTCCGAAGATAATTGCGGTACAGCATGACGCTAATGACTCGAGCCTGAAATTGTTTGGAAACAATGTAGTAGAGAATGACGTCGAGACATGTGCTAAGGTTCATGAGGAAGGTGGTGAATGCTCCCCAGGGATTGTAGCTGTTTTCTTCCCCATAGAGCATGAGAAAGGCAAAACAGATGTGGAAGGGCATGAAGCAGATGAGCACCTGAACCAGGAGTGTGATGATGATACGGATGGACTTCTCCTTGACCTTGGGCTTCAGCTTAGATGTCTGCCCATGGAGAAGACTATGAATAATGACCATGTAGCATCCAATCATGATGAACAGAGGGATCAAGAAAAAACCTATTAGTCGAGTGAAGTTGAGCACGTTGACAGCTTTTAAGTGAATGATGTCAGAGATCTTCAGGCAGGTGGCAGGGGTGGAGGCCTTATCTGGGTCGTCATAGAGCAGTAGCAGAGGGACAGTGGTTGTCAGGGTCATTATCCAGACCCCCACACATGCCAGCACAGCTTTGCAGGTGTTCTTAAGCTCTTTGGCATATTTTGGCTGAACAATTGCCATGTATCTGTCAGCACTGATGAAAGCAAGAAGCCACAGAGCAATGCTTGGGTAAAACACCACAAGAGCCCCGAGAATGTGGCAGAAGTACTCTCCAAATGGCCATTCACCTTTTGCATAGTAAAACATTCGGAAGGGTAGACTAAGTATAAAGATCAAGTCTAGTAGCGCAACATTCATCATGTAGATGGTTACAGTGGTTCTTTTTTTGGTGCTACAACTGAAAACCCATAATGCAGTGATATTAACAAATAATCCAATCAGGAAGATGCAGCTGTAGAAGACCAAGGCTGCAATTTTGTATTCATCTGGATGTGAGCTATTAGAAAGGACAAATTGATCTTGGATGCTTGGGGTAGTCATCTTACAGTATGTTGACTTGCATGGTATGTAGAAACTGTAAAAATCAGTCAGAAAAGTAGGAGTAAGAACTTTGGTTGGAAATATAGATGCTTAACATTCTCATACTCAGCCCTGCTGTTAGTGGATTTTGAGAGCAATTTATATTGAAGACTCAGCATATCTGTCTCAGTATTTATTAAAGAATATAGTCCCTAGAGATTGTTACTATTGTTACTATTGTTACTACTGACTTTTATTATTTTATTTTTGTAGTACTAGGGGTTGAAACCAGCTCCTAATGTATGCTTTGTACCCTGCTGAACTATGTACCCTACTGAACTGGTTACCCCAGTATGTATTATGTACTGGTCTATTAACATGGCTTAGGGGACCATAATGCTCTGGGAGATTCTTTTTCACCCTTCTTGCTCACTTCCTTTCTTCCTAAAATGATAATCTTTTCTTTATGATTTTTTCCCTATAGTATGAAATTAGAAGATAATAAATATTCCACAATTTGGAGTAATGAGATAAAGGCAATCCGGATTTTTAATCTTATAAAGGTTTTGCAATTTTTATCATCTTCATTTTATTTAAACATTTTATAGTTCAAGTAAGTAATGTTCAGATCATACATTTTTATTTGCTAAATACAATTATAATACACAAAATATACATTAGAACACTAACAAAAAACCTGTGCAAGTGGTTAATTATTGAACAGTTACAATAATTCCCACCTGAGAGAGAGCAGACTCTTGCTTTTTTCACTGCTTTGTCCCTGCTGTCTATTGAGCATGTAATAGGAACTCTAAAACAAAGGCTAAGAGAAGTGTGAGTGAAGGAACTACTGTTTGCTGAGGTGGTCCACAGCAGCTGTTGTCTGCTTTGTTAGTAAGACTTGCACAGTTGTCTGTTCACACCCATCTTTTTTTGAAGTTGCAAACACTTCTTCATAGTATCATATTTTCTTTAGATTAGCATGTTTTGTGTCATGGTATACTGAACTCCTGGAACAATAGACGGACCATTTTCAGTGTACAATTGGGAGCATCTGACTGGGGCTGCCAATTTGCATTTACTGGAGTCCTGGAAGTTGAGTGCTGCTTCAAGGGTACATAGAAAGCAATGCATTGAAGATAATTTACTGCTAGTCTAGTAACTTTCATTCATATGCTCTGCCTAGATTTAGAGCATACATTCTGTCGAATTTTAAAGAGGTACATCTACCAGAAGTATATGTAGAAACTATCAAATTCCTATCAGCAAACAAAGGTCCATTTCAAAATGAAAGACATTTAATTGTGACCGTAAATATCATGGAGCCCTCAATGTGAAATTCCCTCACCCAGGGTAGACGCAACACCTTCAGAGACTTTAAAAATAGACTCGCTACAAAGAGATGGAACCTTGAGACATTTCTTTGAAATATGGAACTGTATGAGAAGTTTCCTTCAAAAGTGTCACTTTGTGGAGTGTCTTATCTCAAATTCAGCCCTGAATCTCTCTTTAATGAAAACTATGGGGAGATAGTAGCCTGTGGTCCATGGCACTGTTGTTGGTTGGTAAGAATTAATTTGAGCAGTTGCTGTGGACAAACACAAGATTATGTTGTTTCCTTCCCTTCTTCTTCCTTCCCTTCAGTTTCCCCTGAACTAGTATCTCAAATGTTTGGCTTAAATGTAATTTTTGAATAAAACCCTATATATTTAAAACATACTTAAATTTCCAAATAAAATCAGGTATGGTAGCAGGTAGATCTCTGTGAGTTTAAGGCCACCCTGGTCTACATAAGTGAGTTCCAGTCAGGTCTACAAGTGAGCCCACCTTTAAAAAAAAAAAAATCCAAATAGTAATGTAACTAGAATATTAATTTCTATCAAAATAAGGAAAGTACTGCACAGAAATGTTAAATCTCCAGTGTCAAGCAAAAGAGACTTAAGAGGTTTAAAATCTCACTTGTAATACTCAATGAATTTTTAAATAGTAGCATTGTATAGTAAATTAAATTTTGTCATTTTTTTCCTCCATCCATCCTCATTCCCTGTCTGTGGAAATGCCTATTTCTAAATCATCTTGAGGCTCCTATCTATCTACACCTCCCCCTTGGGCCTGGCTACTTTTCTATAGTCCATTAACCATCAGTACTTACTTCTATGCATTCACTTCAGTTTGAAAAACAAAATCACAAGTGATGGCATGTGTCTTCGTACTATTAGTTTATTACCATGTAGGTTGTGCTCTGCAAACAGTGTTTTGGGTAAATACTGAAAACTGATTAGTTTAACATTTGAAAACTTTAAGTACCATGGTTATCTATAGTTTTTTCTTAAAAACATATAATTTCAAGATCAATGTAATTGAAACCATATCATAAAAATGCCTAAATATATTTATGAATTATCATATCAACATTCCCCTTAATTCAAAAAATCTATACTTGGGCCAGGCATGGTGGCACACACCTTTAATCCCAATACTCAGGAGGCAGAGACAGGTGGGTCTCTGAGTTCAAGGCCAGCCTGGTCTACATGTAGTTCCAGGCCAGCTGGAGCTACAGAGACCCTGTCTCAAAAAGACCAAAAAAAATTTATGCTTGGACTGGAGAGATGGCCCAGCAGTTAAGAGCACTAGCTGCTCTTGCAGAGGACCTGGGTTCAGTTCCCAGCACCCATGTGATAGTTAACAACTATCTATAATGCCAGTTCAGGGAATCCAACGTCCTCTTCTTATGTCCGCAGGCATTGCACCATACAGGTGCACTTATATACATGCAGACAAAACACTCATACATATAAAATAAATAAAATATATATTTTTTAAATCTATACTTACTACTAACATAAAATATTGAAAATAAGTGCAAATAACCAGATGTTTAAAGGTCTTCATCAAATAAAGCAATGATTTTGAGATTAGTAAACAAAGCATTAATTTTGATAACACTGTTAACAATTTACCATGAAGTTAGTTTAGGGCTGCTTACCTTCTGTTCGTCAAAGGGCTGTCTTAGAGGTGAACATTTTCCAATATGCCCAGTTCTGTAAAAGAGGTATCTCTGAGTTGCTTGCGTTAGAATAGCCCTGTAAGGAGCTGGGTGTTTTTGAGAAATTCTGTATTTCTTATCTGTTTCGTTGAAAGGTTGAGATGTAGTGCTTGATATCTGAGTTGGTCTAATGTAAGTACTGCTCTGCCTCTCTTTCAGGAAGCACTCTGAAATAAAACTTCAGTGTGTGACTGTACCCTGGATGTGGTTTTTCTTTTTCACAAGTAATTTGTTTATCAAGTCGGGCTTAGCTTAAGTTCCTCTCAGAATGATAGCATATATTTAAGAGAGTCATATGAAAAGAGAATTTCTTGAATTAACTGCTTTGATGTTTGAAGCCTGTGCCATTTATCGAAAAGAGGTTTGACCTTGGGCAAAGCAATGTTTAAAAACTACTCTCTAAGCTGTGTGACTTTGTCTATTTTTTATCTGATTTAGTCTGTATAATTAAAATCCGTAAAAATCATGTAATAGGATTGTGAGAACTCTAATCCAGAAAAATCCTGCCTGTGCAACAAAGTACCCTTAGGTCAGCACTCTAAATAGTCTCTTCCACCAGGTTCTACTTTTTACTGTGTGAGCATTTCCATTTGACTGAAGTTGGGATCCTCTTTTATTTGCTTCTGCTCCACCCTGCTCATTTCCCCGCTGGATTTGCGTCCTCCCGTAAGTCCTCAGTACTTCCATGTCCATTTCTATCATTTGGAAATCTAGCAGTAATGTCTTTTCATAAGCATCCCTGCATCTTAGCAGGAAGGACTCTGGTCTCAGAGGGAAGAATTTGCATACTAGGAGTGTTTTAAGCTGAGAAGGGAAATGAAATCCACAGAGAGGGAAGTGAGCAACCTAGATCATTGCTCTGGTTAATATGCATTTTAACTTTCTCTTTTCTCTTAAAAAAAATCATCCTTTTGTCCAAATTTAATTATCTTCACATTCAGTTACACATAATTTGTCAAATTTTAAAAAGGTACCTGAACCTAAGTACATTTATGTTTTTAAAGTTAAGTGGTTTAAGACAGTTGTTGCCACTGCTGCTGATCCTCCTCACTTTTTTTTTTTTTTTAAAGACAGAGTGTCACTATGTAGTCCTGGCTAGCCTAGAACTTAGTACACCAACGAGACTGGGCGTGAACTTGTGTTCATCTTTCTGCCTCTGCCTCCCAAGTAGATACAGGACTGTAGATACAAGTTCTACCATGCACTGCTTGAATTTAAGCCAATTTGAGAGCCCTTGCTCTTTTTTCTCAGCCTGTGCTTTACAAAAGGAACTGAAGTCCTTACCCATGGTGATAAACTACCGGGAACTGTGGTAACCTTACAGAATAAAATGCTTTAGAAATTTTAGAGACGACAGTGACTACTTACACAGATGAGAAAACGGAGGGCTAGATAACTCAGTGACTGTCAGGCCTGACTTCTTTAGCTACCATAATAATGTCTTATGAGGTGACTCCCTTGAGTCAGAAGATACGACTTTTGTATTGCTCAGTTATATTCATCAGTTTTTCCTATGCAGAGTTACGCCACACATAAGTGTGATATTTCAGCTGGATAGAAAGAAACCTCGTCTGCAGACCCATTCTGTCCTCTGTCTTGAATATAGTCTGTGACAAGTTTTCTAAGAGGAATGTTTGTTAGTTTCCTGTGCTATTAAAATTGACAGATGTAGTGATGGCTTGTGTAAGGAGTGTCTTCTTGTCTTAGTTCTGAATTTCCAGTTTTAGTGAAAGGCACCCACCCAGGGCAAATAAAGGCTTGGCAATGGTTGGGATCTGCCCATTTTCCATCTTACTCTCCATTCATCCACATGGGACATTCTTTCATGTTTTCTTTTGCCTTTTTACATGATGGTGAACCCACTGGTGGCACTCCCACCTCGGCCAGCTGCCATTTATCCCTGTAGTTGCCATTCCTAGGAAGTTTTCTCTGCCCTCCAAGGCTGGGCTGGCCAGAAAGGTTCCTCACTCTAGCC